ATGAAATTCCATGTTTGAGCCAAAAACAAATGTAGTTAAATGCTAATAATCGTCTTTTCCACTACATAACTTCTAGCACATTCCCAATATAATTTCGTTTAAACCACATTTAAAGTTATTTAACTTTTGTTAATAGGGCTAAAACATTTATTTCAATTATTCAAAATACTTCACACTTTATTGAATCCCGGGTAAGCGGAACCATATAAACACTCGCTAAAAGTGGGTTGGGGAAGGGTGAGTTCAAAGGAGCTCTGTAATTTTTTTATGATTATCGGGGTGCAACACTCGATCTTTGACCAACAATTGTCATTTTGTTAATTAATAAACATGCATGTGCTTACGCGCTTCATCACGTTCTTTCTCATAACAGATTTCATTCAATTCTTCTAAGAAAGTGCCCTGGGTTGCTTCAGTTAATGTGAATAGAACAATTATCACAATGATGAGCCGCAATGATGACATCGCTTCCTTGATTATGACAAAATGTCTTCCTTGAAAAAATGATAAAACATAACATTCGTTAATATAGATAATTAATGGATAGGAATCATGCGTCCTTCATAGATATAAATATCATATTTATCGTTTTTGTGTAACATGATCTAACTTGCTGCATTGGTCATATTCTCGAATATGTTCAAATAATGTATTTCCCCCATTCAAGATTCCTATGTCAAGTGTTAAATATTCTCAGCTCAGTAGGTAACCCCCCCCCCCATCCAGCGTTCAAAGGGATGCCGCCAATGACGTCATATCAATGACATCACCGGAAATACCCGCATAAATTATCAAGTATGAACGTTCAACTATTCCCGCATAAATTATCAAGTATGAACGTTCAGCTATTCCCGCGTAAATTATAAAGTATGAACGTCCAACTGTATGTATGAGTGAGCAAGACCGTCAAGAAGAATCGTTAGCCGCACAATATGTGTTGGATTTTGATACGTCTCTTTTAGAGTAAGGGAGACGTACAAGACATACAAAAACGGTTTTTTTAAGAGCCACCAAATATACTAAAAGAATTAAACGAAACACTCGATTTCACATTTCACATATTTATAGTATGGATCGATTAAGTTTCGCTAAGAGTCAATACCCCTAAAATGTGGACAGTATAGTGTACACTTTTCTGAAAATCAATACTCCCCACTCGATGAACACACACTCGATTTATCCTTTTCATAGTATGCATTAGATCAATGAAATAGCCCAAACATTTATAATAATAGTAATAAGTGAAAAAAGACACACATGTTATCGATAGAGTAAACTTTTGTTGTTAAACGTTACTCCTGGGCAACAAACGAAGATGTCGTGACCAGTAGTGCAAGTCCTCGTTGGGAGTCAGTACCGGTCTAACGTGTGGAAAAATCAAGTATAGTAAACTCTTTGCCGAAAACGAATTCTCCCCATTCGATAAAGTTTTATTTTAGTTTACTATGAATTGAGTGTGAATACTTTTCGTTTCCATTTAAAATTGCTTTTGGAAAAGCATGGGGGTTTATTTGAGAGCATGATATCTCGTATTGGAAGAGAAAACGTGCTAGAAAATTTGTGTGTAATCTATCAAGAGTTAGAACCTTCAAATTTTGGTCGAATTATGGCTTACTTGACTTTAGTTTACAAAGTCAGTGATTTTTGTGAGCCTGAAATTGTGCAAGAAGCCGTAGAAATCTGTGTATGGGAATTAAAACAAGCGGATTGCGCTAGCTTTGAAATAAAACAATCTTGGATACAACGCTTAGTTGCATGGTTACGCGACTAGTAACCTGGCGAAATTTGAATATCACTAATCCGGGTTGAATAGCAAAAGTCATTAACTGTTGTACATGGCTGAACACATTGTAATTTGACGACATTGCCCTGAACATGTTTGTGCTGACTTAGCAGGAAAACTGGCCTTAACGATAGGACATAAGTACCGCGCATCAGACAGTATCATTGTCGTTTACCTACAGCAATGGAGTGTTTGCATGGATTGCCAGCGTCCGCGGTTTCTACAAAAAATGGAAAATTTTGGCTTTGCAACAGAAATAAGCCCAAGAGTTGTGAATTCTTCTGCCCTGATCAAGACCGCTCGTTGTTCGAAACGGCCATGGCAATGTGGAGAGCGAATGGCCCAATTCATCCGGTGTGTGATACTCACCAAAGGCTAGCAAGAATGAAAGTCGTCAAAGACGTTAGTAAACTGAACTTTGGAAGGCCGTTTTTTGTTTGTTGCGACCGCGAGAATCCATGTAAGTTCTGGCAGTGGGCTGACAGACACGAGTTGCCAAAACCAAAATGCAGACACGGATTGAATGCTTGCGTACGGAAAGTCAAAAAGGAAGGAGAAAATCAAGGTCGCCTTTTCTTTTGTTGTCCAAACGAGCGAGAAAAGTCGTGCGGATTTTTTGAATGGAAACTCGATCTGGAAAACCCGTTCAACCAAGTTCATTTTCCTCACGTTGAAAGAGTTGGTATATTGCAGAGTAATCCTGCGCTGTACACATACATGGTAGCTGAAACTGGACTTACCTTTACCAGCGCACGGGAAAATCCACACGATGCCTACGCCGAATATATTGGGGAATTGCCTATTTTCTCACCAACGGGGGATATGGAGCAACTGTCACTGATAGACTATTAGGAGACTATAATTAAGCTATTAAAATATTGTTATATTAACCCGAACAGAACACTTAACCTAAACCTAGTGAGTGAAATGTTGTATAAATACTATAAATAAAAAATCATAATCGTTTTTCTTTCAGTTCAAATAAAATTACTTCGTCGTCTTCTTCACACCTAAGAGGGTAAAGTTCTATAGGATTGCGACGGATGACGCGTTGCCTTTGTAGTAGAAACCTGCGCCGTATCAGGAACACGCACACTGCTAGGACAATCACCAACGGTAAAATCGCGATCAGCCATAGCATTTTTCTCCCTTCCTTTTTCCATTTTTTGTTCGTTGAAGGTTCAGTTCGGCTCAAACGACCCGAATCGTGTTTTGCGGTACTGTGATTAAACTTATTGGACACGGCAAAACAGAAAAAAAAAAAAATTCAACAAAACAACGATAACCCGAACAGAACACTTAACCTAAATCTAGTGAGTGAAATGTTGTAAATACGCTTTGGCCCGAATAGTACAAAAAGTACAAATATTTTTACGTAGACTCTAACTCTACCATTGCCTACAAGGGCGGACATTATGAAAAAGACTTACTGAACAGTCTCAGTATTCCAGCCGTAAATTGGGAGTCCTTTGGATGTCCTGAGGCTGGGGAACTCTTTGAAACCTGCAAAAAACCACCTGTCAACACTGTCCGAAAGTTGTGTAATACCATTAACAACTGAATCGTATCAACGCAAGTATTACGTAATTGTACTGCACTGATAATATTACATACTAAGTCTAAGCCTTTGAAAATGAGTTTTTCACAAAATTTTGAGACTGCTCATGAGCGAATGCTCATCTGCTCACAAGGCCCGTTTAACCCAAACTACTGTGTATGAGCAGATGAGCATGATGAGCATGTGCTCATAACTGCTCATGAGCACATGCTCATCTGCTCACGAGGCCCGTTTAGGCCCAATGGCCCGACGTGCATTCTTCGTTCGTGGGAGCCCAGACACTACTTTTTATGTACACAAATGTATAATTTTTCGTATTCGCATGTTTTTGCCATTTTGATTTCTATCCGGCCAACCCATGTAAAAATAACAAGAAAAGATAGGTATAATTGAAAAGCAATTTATTTTAATGACTCGAAGTTACATGCTGTGTCTATACTGGTATTGTTTTACATGCTAATACTGTTCGAGTACAAGGCTTTGATCCTATATTCGACCTATCAGTCGAGTCTAATCATGATTGCATGTCATCATCATCATTCTCTTCATCAAAATCGTAACCCTTTAAAAGCCTTCTTATAAGAAATTTTCTCTTATCAACAGCTGCTTCTAACGCTTCTTCTGGATCAAAATCATCGTTTTCCACAAGCGCATCTTTTGTGTGCATGATCTTCTTATGTACTGGATCTTTCTTTAGTTGTTTCATCCACACGAGACGCTCCATATAAATATTTCCCAGTTCCTTCTGGAGTTTAGGCAACATATTAGAGAAAGCTTTGTCCTTAGCGGATTGCTCATCTAGACCAGTGTTTATAAGGCTTTCTTTCATTTCCTCTAAAGCTATATTTCTTCTTTGTTTTGCTTCTTCTATTAACGGTATCCAAGGGTCCATTTCTTCTTCAGTTTCTGACTTATCAGTCCTCATCGAAGTTTCAGACACATCAGTTGAAGTTGTCGAGACATCGTCTTGAAAATCCCTTTCCTGGCTATCCGAATCTGTTTGGGACATATTTCTTTCTTGGGCACGAAGGGGACAGTATTCCTTTTCGTGTCTTCGTAAATTGTAACCACGGTTAAATTGCTTTCTGCAAAATTTGCAGCTCATTCCGTTAGCACTGACTGTACAGAAATGCCTTGTTATTGAGCAGCACTGCAGTTTTATGAGCAGATGAGCATGTGCTCATGAGCAGTTATGAGCAGATGAGCATGTGCTCATGAGCAGTTATGAGCAGATGAGCACGTGCTCATGAGCAGTACCCGACATGATCTAACAAAATCTGTCATCTGTGCGTAGGTGAAGGGTTACGATTTTGATGAAGAGAATGATGATGATGACATGCAATCATGATTAGACTCGACTGATAGGTCGAATATAGGATCAAAGCCTTGTACTCGAACAGTATTAGCATGTAAAACAATACCAGTATAGACACAGCATGTAACTTCGAGTCATTAAAATAAATTATATATATATTATTATTAATTAACATATTTAGACAGGTTGACTTCTTCAGGCAGTGTACCGCCTGCTATCAATGAAGGACCTGTATTTATGCTAAAATTAATTAAGTATTTAACTAAGATTGTTTTCTTATGACATAGAATGTACAAAACATGATCACTAAACATACATTAACAATAGTACGAAAATGTTCACAATTACGGCGAACTAAAGTTAAAAGATTCAACTTTTCTTTTAAAGTTAATATACGAGTTCTCATTCCTTATTTCCTCGCTTAGTGAATTAAACAGCAAAACTCCTTGCACGGAGAACGACTTTCTACCGGCCTCTGTCTTAACTTTCGGTACAATTAAACGTGAGTTGTTGCTTCGCGTGTTTATTCCGTGATTGAAACGTTGGAAGTTCACGTGGGGAAAATTTGGGCCAATCGAATGTAAAGATTTAAAAACATCCATTACAACACATCTTTTGCGACTAGTTACACAATCATCATGTAAACAATTTTTTGGACCAATTATTCTTGCCGCTCTATCTTGCAGTCTCTGTATTTTGGAATTAGCTGTGTTACTGAGGCCCAAATACACTGGATAGCAGTAAAACATAATGGGATAGATCATTGTTCGATAAATTCTTTCCGCAACATAGGGACTTATATTAGAGCGTATTCGTGAGAGTTGGCTCAAACGAGACGAAACTCTCTTATATACTTTTGACACTTGACTTGATAGAGTTAGATGGTTATCCATAATAATACCCAAGTATTCATACTCTTTAACTTGATTGATAGATGTCCCGTTCATCATTATACTGCAATCCTGCTGACGTGCTAATTTTTGAGGCGTTCCATATAATACAAATTCAGTTTTTCCTTTTTTCAGGTTAACAATTAACTTATTTGAGTCCAGCCATTGGGAAACACGTTCGATATCACTATTGATAGATCTCTGGATTTCATCTGTGCCATTCGCTGAATAATAAAGCACAGTATCATCAGCATACATTATGATGTTACATTTCTTCAAAGACAAGTATAAATCGTTAATCTGTAAGACAAACAGAAGAGGGCCGAGAATTGATCCTTGTGGGACACCGCAGGATACATGCTCCTCATCTGATTTAACTTGGTTGAAGTATACGAACTGAGATCGATTGAGTAAATAATCCTTCATCCAAAGAAGTTCGATGTTTCTTATTCCATAATACGGCAGCTTATTGAGCAAACATGCATGACTAACCGTATCAAATGCTTTTCGTAAGTCCAGATATACTACACCAGTACATCGACTTTTATCCATATTTTGACGAATATGTTCGTTGAGATATGTCACAGCATGCTGGGTACATTTCCCACGTCTGAAACCAAATTGTTGAGGGCAGAGTAATTGGTTTCTTTCAAGATAGTCTGTGATTTGCTGATGTGCAATCCTTTCGATGACTTTTGAAACCGTATTTAGGACCGATATAGGTCGATAATTGTCGAAAGATGCTCGATCTTCGGATTTATAGATCGGGATAACTTTTCCGCATTTTTCTGCATTTGGGAAAGTTCCATATTCAAAACTCATGTTGACCAATATACAAAGAGGCAGCGCTAGTTCTTCAGACGCATCCTTCAAGAGAGATGCTGGCAAGTTGTCGGGGCCAGCGGCTTTGGAAATTCTCATAGATTGTAGTATTTTGGCAACTTTTGAGCAATTGACTTTAGAAAATTTGAAGAATTTGCCAGTTGGATTTATCGTATGCATTAAATTATCATCATTTCTAAGCGAGCTACAAGTTTTGTTGGTGATTGTAACAACGTTTTGTTGTAGGCGGCTGCCAATAGTTGAAAAATAACGACAGAACCCATTTGCTATTTTCCTGGTATCAGATACTAATTCATTATTCACCTTAAAAAAAGATGATTTTGATGTTTTGTTATTCCCAGGATATAATTTTTTAATTAACTTCCAAAAAGTCTTAGGGGATTCACCATTGTTGTAAAGGAGATTCCGACAAAAGTTTGCTTTGTTATGCTTTATAGCAGAAGTAACTAAATTTCGCAAACGTCTATAAGTCGACCAATGGAGTTCTTGATTGGTTTGTCTAGCTTGTTTAAGATAGTAATCACGGGAGATCATCATAGATTTAAGCTCTCTTGTTAACCATGGACATACTCGCCCTCTTATTGACTTCTCTACAAACGGGACGTGGTTATCAATAGTGCGAGAGAGTTTTTCTTTAAATATGTTCCAGTCGTGATTCAAGTCATACCCACAGAACTCCCCATTCCAGTCGATAACCGAAAGTTCTCTCCTAAAAGACATCTTATCGTATTTTGAGAAATCTCGCTTCCGTATTTTGCAGGATTTAAATTTTTGCAAGTTTATTTTCCTTATTATGCCAGTTAAGTCGTGATCACTTAATGAGTTCGCATAGACAATAGAGTCTGCAATGTGCTGCTCATGTGTTGTAAAGAACAGATCAATAAGTGTTTTTGAATGAGCTGTTATTCTGGTCGCGGTGGTAATTAATTGCTTGAGGCCATTAACTTTAAAAACGTCCTTAAGTTCTCGATGATCCGTTGGGGCCAAGTAGTCACAGTTTAAGTCCCCCGCGAGTATAACTTCTTTGTTTTCATTAATAGCAATGTCAAGCATATTATCGAACTTAGAATTAAAATTCTTGTCGAGGTACAAGGATGAATCCGGGGGTTTGTATACAATACAAATAAGAATCGATTTTGAGTTTACAATAAACACTTCAACCCAAATTGCTTCTACCCCATCAATTTCTAGGTCTTTCCTTCGCTGAAAACTAATACCATCGCGAATATAGCATAGTACTCCACCGTAAACCGCAGAATTTCGATCTTTACGTTCAACAACATAACCGTCTACCTCAAGCTCCGAGTCATTAATTGACGCACTAGTATGACTTTCAGAGATCCCGAAGATATGAACATCTTTTTTGCACAGAAACAATCTAATCTGATCTAATTTGTTCATAATCCCGTTAACATTTTGGTGAAACAATTTTAGTCCACGTTTCTTCATAAATGTGCAAAGGACATTGCTATCTACAGTTTGTGGCGAACCAGCATCTTGATCTGCGATATTAACAAAGCAGATATTACAGTAGAATTTCTCCTTGTTATTTCGCAGTTCGTCTTTCAAACATTTAAGATGAAAAGCATTCTTACATTCGGCACAAGTACCTGAGATTTGATTTCTTCGGATTGTCTTCCAGCACGCTTGGCATTGAGGTTTCATCGGTCCAGGGCATAACTCTACATCTCCAGCTAACAGCAATAAAATACGAAGCAAGGACGCTCTTGTGACAACGAGACATCTTTCTTGCTTATACTGCCACAATGATGGATAGATATACGTTCCTTCAAACGAATTAGAATCTTTCGAGGCTTCCCAGTAACAACATGAGCTACTGTTTGTAAAGCAAGGTTTTTTAATCATAAGAATTATTACAACAAGCAGAACGCTCTTCAGAGCGACCGCCATTTTAATTTAATTTAATTTAATTGCTTTTCAATTATACCTATCTTTTCTTGTTATTTTTACATGGGTTGGCCGGATAGAAATCAAAATGGCAAAAACATGCGAATACGAAAAATTATACATTTGTGTACATAAAAAGTAGTGTCTGGGCTCCCACGAACGAAGAATGCACGTCGGGCCATTGGGCCTAAACGGGCCTCATGAGCAGATGAGCATGTGCTCATGAGCAGTTATGAGCACATGCTCATCATGCTCATCTGCTCATACACAGTAGTTTGGGTTAAACGGGCCTTGTGAGCAGATGAGCATTCGCTCATGAGCAGTCTCAAAATTTTGTGAAAAACTCATTTTCAAAGGCTCAGACTTAGTATGTAATATTATCAGTGCAGTACAATTACGTAATACTTGCGTTGATACGATTCAGTTGTTAATGGTATTACACAACTTTCGGACAGTGTTGACAGGTGGTTTTTTGCAGGTTTCAAAGAGTTCCCCAGCCTCAGGACATCCAAAGGACTCCCAATTTACGGCTGGAATACTGAGACTGTTCAGTAAGTCTTTTTCATAATGTCCGCCCTTGTAGGCAATGGTAGAGTTAGAGTCTACGTAAAAATATTTGTACTTTTTGTACTATTCGGGCCAAAGCGTATTTACAACATTTCACTCACTAGATTTAGGTTAAGTGTTCTGTTCGGGTTATCGTTGTTTTGTTGAATTTTTTTTTCTGTTTTGCCGTGTCCAATAAGTTTAATCACAGTACCGCAAAACACGATTCGGGTCGTTTGAGCCGAACTGAAC